AAAAAGAAGGAGAAGTCATAGCTACACTAGAAATCACTGCAGCAACCGGGCAGTGAAATAATTTCTCATAGGGGGATTCTCAAGGGCCTGGTCAGCCAGAGGCATCCATGGAATCCCGATGCCAATATCCTCATTAAGGGTAGCTAATGACCCCACACTCCCTATGCACTAATGCCTGAGGGAAGCTGTGCCTCCAAGTCATGTGTGACCTGGGAGAGACCAGCACCAGGTGCTTTTTATTATCTTTGCAACACAACAAAAGAAATGACACACAGTAAGGGAAGCGTTTTCCTTCTTTTCAGCTAGCGAGCAGGACCTGAGGAATGGAGTAATAAACCAGCTGCATCACGTGGGAGCAAGTTCACAGGGAAAAAAAAATATAGTTCAAGGGGATCGTGATCTTCATCAACACGGTTTAAGATGTTCAATGCTCCCTCTGACCTCCACTGCCTTTGCCTGAGCAAAATTAGGAGGAACAGACTATCCCTAGATCTGTAGGCTTGGAGAGAAAGGGGCCCCACAGTTTTGCTCCCTGGAGGCACCCGCTCTCCCCACCCCTTTTGTGTGTATTTTTTTTTAATGTGCCACACATCAGCACAATGCTGACAAGGGCTTTGTATGTTTTCTGCCTATGCAGCAGTTCAAGACACACAACTCTGGATTTTTTGAAAGGGGAAAGGGGGAGGGAGCTGCCCTTTGCTGTACTCTTTAATTGCACCACTTGCTCTTCTGCATGACCACAGGGAAGGGAAAAAGCAACAAGACTTAAAAACAGAACCATTTTTAGCAGCCAAAAGGGTCAAATTCAGTCTTCTCACAAGATACAGTGGAGTTCAGAGTAAAACCTACCAGAGGCAAGAAAAAAATTATAAATCATCAGGGTTTCTTTTTTGGAGTTGGACATGACCCCAGAAAACAGCTCATCTGTCCTCACTTGCTGCTGTTAGTCTCCACATTTGCACACCTCCCAGTGCAGATTCCAGCACTTTGAAAAAAGGAGGGAAAGGTCTAGAAAACTGGACTGTTGGTTTTTCCACCTGCCAGGAGCAGCTTGATGAAGCTGGGGGTGGCTAAGCTCCAAGGAACAGCAAGCAGAGCACGTTACCAGCCTTCTGGAGTTCCCATCTCACACGCACATGCGTGATAGGGGCAGTGCTGGCAATCAGCTTCCTTCAAAAATAAGGATGACTAATCCACAGCAGTGCCGCTTCATTTATTTATTTATTTTGAAGGCCGAGCTTTTTCCAGAAGCATCAGCCTTTGTGAACCAGCATTCAGTGGGAAGGGGAAGCCCTGGGACCCGCTCATGCTCTGCAGACGGAAGTAACCACAGGAACACTGCGGGTTTGTGTGGCCTGTGTGTGACACACACAGACATGGCCAGAGCCTTGTGTTTTATGCCCCTGGCAAGGCCAGACCCACTGCCTGAGTGACTCCTGGATCTCAGCGTGGTTTGTAGGGATCTGCTGTGGAGACCGATAACATAAACAATGCACCGTTTCTCTTGGAAATTGAAAAAAAAAATAAACAAGAGAAAMAACAATAAAGCATAAAAAGAGCTTTAACCTGTAACTGCAGCCTCCTGCCAGGTGAGGGGATGTGCTGGAAAAGAACAGGGTGCAGGGATTTGGGATTAAAGCAGAGCACCTAAATCACTTGGTGGGCCCAGTCCCCCCAGCAAGGTCACTCTGGCTCACAGGGACACATATTAGTGCTCCACTGCACAGCTGTGGTGGAACCACAGCCGAGGCAATGCTGCAGGAGGTCACTTGGGGACTGTAAAAAGGGAATGGATTAAAATAAAATAAATTTTAAAAAAATCCATAAGCAGATGTTTACTGACATACAGCAAATCTACAGCTTGTCTCTGGAAAGCTGCATGGTCAGAGGGAGAACAGCCCAGTTCCCAGGACACAGCAAATACTCGGCATCTACAGATTTAGGTTACAGGTTTTAGCCAGCCCCAGACCCCACCCCACCCTACCCCATCCACCCACCACCCCCTCCCAAAAAAAAAAAGCCAAACCAAAGTTGTCATCTTTTTAAGCACTCAGAAATGGAAGTTTGCCACCGAGCTGATTTTGGGTGGTGGCACCATTAAATACTTACCCAACTCACAGCCAAGGGCTGCACAATCTGAAATTTGTGAGTGTTTGCAAATGGTTTGGAAAGCTTTCCAAGGAAGGTGCTGTACGATTGTAAATCCTTCCCGTTATTAATACAAGGGAGCTATTGTTCCAGCTCTAATCAAGCCTTGTCTCCAGCTGGGTAATTTTAAAACGCAATTCAAAGCAAAAGGAAAAAAAAAAAAAAAAGGTGAAGGAGAAAGGGGACGGGGTAAGGAAAATAAAAAAATAATACTCCTGCTATTTAAAATTAATTCCGAGCAGGAGCATGCTGGGGCAGGGGGGAATCCTCCCTCCCACCGCCTGGGAAAGGTCACTTGTGCCATCGGTGCCATGGCCACGCCGGAGCAGGGCTGCGGCGCTGCCAGCCCTGCCTCATCCATCTCCACCAGCGACAGCTCTGCTTTCCATTTATGTAGCAAAAGAAAAAAAAAAAAATTAAAAAACCCCCAACCTCTCCAAGTTGCAAACACCTCCCAGCGCTCTGTTTTCAAGGCTGGGGGAATGGAGCAAGGGGGAGAGGCTTGGAAGGAGGCTCCCAGCCAGGGAGAGGTGGTGCATCCTCCGCATCCTCCTCCTCCTCCTCCTCCTGCCCGGCGCTGCGGCAAAGGCGCCGCAGTGGGGGCTCCCCGCCCCCGTGGAAGCTTCTGGAATAAGCAGCCAAGCTGGAGAGAGGAGAAACCTTTATAACCGCAGAGGGGAGAGGAAAAAAAAAAACAACACGTAATAAAAGGGAGAGGATTGCACAAGGCCGGGGAAAAATAGAGATCTCTGTAAAAGTGAAGCCCCGAGCCGCTCTGGCAGCCCTGGCWTGGGGGGTAGTGCAGCCGCCTCGGCTCGAAACAAAACGCCCCAACAAAGCACATTAAAAACGAAACAAAACAAACAAAACCAAAAAAAGAAAGGAAAAAAACTGTGGTGTTTGGAGCGCGAGATGGTGGGATAAAGGAGCTGATCCCTCCTCCTGGATCTACAGTAAAGCCGGCCATTGCAGTTCCATTTATCTTCTTCTTTTTTTTTTTTTTTTCTTTTGTGCAATGAATTGTCTGCTCCGATCTATTTGCTTGCATTTGCAGCTTCACTCACTGCGATGTGGTTTTGTTGTGCTTTTTTCCTTTTTGTTTCTTTTTCGTTGTTTTTGGTTTTTTTTCTGGGTGTATTTTTTTCCTCTTTTTCATTAAAAAATAATCCTTCCCAAATCTCCCAACGAAAATCTACATCTCTGTGGAACAAGTAATAACATTCAGGCACAAACTTCCATCATGGACTATAAAAAAGAGATGGGGTTTTATTTGTATTTTTCTTTTTTTTTTTTTT